TCTCCGGGCATTACCGGCTTTCTGGGCCTCTTCCATTTCTTTGACTTTCTGTGTCCAGCATACTTCACGGTCGAATCACAAGGTCCCTTTCACTTGATGTCTGATGGCTCTTCGCATCGGGTTATGTTCGGGACCGGCTGGGATATTTCTTCGAGATTTAAGTAATGCCACCGTTCGGTCTGATATCCAGTGCTTGAGTGCGCCTGGTTGGGTCGTGTCACAGGCGAAATTCCCAGCACTATGCAAAGAGGTGGCAATCTCGTCCCAGTATGAGTTCACATCTGATGGTGGAGCACTTGGAAGAGACTCTAGAAGTTCGTCTGACATCCGGATCTGCCAGTCTTTCAGTTGCCATGCGATTTGTTCGCACCTTACGCGGCCCCGGGAAACGTAGGGCGAAGCGACTCCGGACGAGCGCGTGGTCAGAGTCCACAAATGTGTTCCAAAACGACCGGCAGTCAGTTGTGGATCCCCGCCATCGGTAACGTGTGACGTTAAACCTGTCATTCACTAGGGTACCTCACCATAAGTGATGTTTCTGACGGAAGTATATCGGTCATGAATAATGACTGACAATCAATAACAATCTTTCATATTTGCTCGTATCGGTTACCCCTTCCAAACGAAATTATCGAATGTTAAATCCGTTCTTTAAAACATGCTTTTCAGACCTCACAGGCTTCCATCGTTATATTGCAGATTTGCAAGCGACCTTGTTTACGGAATCACCCCGTTAATCACCCCTGTATCCGATGCCATCTAGACAGTCATTGGGTTTTATCAATCCGGAGGACGACAGTATTTTGAAAGGGATTTCCGAGGAGGTTCCGGAGGCTTACGAAGATGGGGGTGTTGGATCCAGTCTAGTCCCATATCGTATAGATGACGACATCAACAGTATTGAACAGCAGAGACAACATCTACCTGTCTTTTCCTGGAGAAGTTCTGTTTTGTACTTGCTAGAGACAAACAGGTAAGCTTTGCTAGCGTAGTAAATCCCCTCGTTGTGCTTGTGTCCTGATAAATCTCAATTGTGCCAATTAACCATAATGGTGCAATAGTGTGACTTTAGTTTTTGGACATGCAAGACTAAATAAACTGTCGTTTACTAGAAGTCAGTCATAATCTTATTCAAGTTCAACCATGATCCCATCGTCAAAACACGCCAACTTTAGGAGACAAGTCTTGAATATGCAGTATTTCTACCCATTGCAGTCGGGCAACTCCAAACAGGATTCCTGAAATACTATTTCGTTCAACTTTTGTCAGCATTTTATCCTATCTCCCAGACGGGTGATGTTATCCAATCTGCGGAGTCAGGATGAACATTGAATAAAAGGTTAGGAGAGACGTAGCGCAATTCTGACTGTGCATAGCTTGATACTGTTATCCGTACGTAAGTTCCTAAAAGTAAGTTTTCTCTCTGTTAGCAACAGCAGTTATCTGGATGCGGTGCTCGGGCTGGTGTGTATAAATAACCCTATAGGGTTACAATCCCCAACAGTTGTGTCCTGTGGGTTGCACCGTCATCGTGACATCGTACGGCAATTAATCGTGCGACGCATTCGTTCATATCGAGTGGTGCGGGTGTGTAAGACCTAGTTGCAGACTCAAGCACTGATGTATCTTTCAGTGAGCATAGTGATGCCTCCGGTCATTAGTCGTCTCTGAAGGTGTTATTTATCAATCCCCGAATCCATGTTGCATAACATGCGCGCCTTAAAAATCTATTGGAATTTAATTTCCACCCGCATTTTCTCAACGAAAGGATACATCTGGATTATGAGTATTCCACAGTCAGTTCCTAACTTTGTCTCTAACAGTTCACTCTGCCGTCAGCCTTCTGAAACACTGGGAATTTAAATTTTTTACAAACGAGCCAGCCAGTTTTTACTATTGCTCCTCAATATAGTGATTACTTGTTTGTCGCTTCAACTCTAATTACTGTGTATTGAAAAGACCGAGTTCATCGTTAAACCTACGGTGTCCCATTACTGAATAAGAAGAGTACGACAGGTTATTATCGCCAACCTGTTGTTTATTTGTTTTCCAGGGTGCTTATCATCACAGGGGAAACAGGCAGTGGTAAATCTACACAACTACCCCAGTACGTTTATGAAGCGGGCTGGCTAATTGCGAAACCCACCCAGATCTCTCCAAATGGTGCCACTATGGCTGTGACACAGCCTCGCAGGGTTGCTGCTCTGACACTTGCGGCACGCGTTGCAGAGGAGAAAAACTGGCAGCTTGGACAGCATGTTGGCTATTCGATCCGATTCGAAGTACGTTATTTACTCCACCGTCGCACATACTTTTTGCTGGTCGAAATTTCGGTGCACTCCATGCTAGTTTTCTCCCTCAACCGTTGTCTTATTCAACTGTTCGGCATTTCGATCCAAGGTCTGTTTTTATGGGGATAAACTAATGTCTTCAACACTGAGAAAACACTGGTGCTCAGCTGCCTTGCTGTTGCATCGGCGAAACGAACCGCTGCATTCTTATTCACTTGGTTCTTAAATTTTCTCTAACCGCAGGGATAAGCCTATATTCTGAAATGTTCCTTCATCTGAATGTCTTAATACGGATTGATTTATGGTGAATTAACGAGGCTCAGCGGTGATCGGACTTTCCGTCTCCCACAATGTAATTCGAAAAAATCTTTGGTTTCCTGCACTTGGTATGTTCGGCGAAAACGTCGCAGTTTATGACATCTTGTTCGACACTTCAAAGTTGCGTGTCCTCAAGGTCCTAGCTTACTCTACGGCCTCTCAAGTGAACTTGTTTGCCGCTCAAATATCGCAAAATGTGTGCATTGTTACCTAACTGTTGACGATGACTGTTCGCTGTCTTTTTTCGGGTTCTTGCGTAGTTCTGAGGTTCGATGTAGTCTCCAATCGCTTTCCGAAGGTCACGCTAAGCTGGTGAACTATCATTTGATAGAAAAAGGGTTCTGTCACTGAATTGGAAACCTTGCTTCCCTTTCCATTCGCTTGTTCTCTGACGATGAACCTCCATATTGGGATCTTGTTACTGGGTGATAAGTGACCATAAATTGCATGGTATTCGCTGTTTCCGGATTGGGCGAAAGGAAGAAGGCCTTCGCTGCGGAGTTATTTATTGGAAAACACCAACTGAACAGTTACAGACTATTGGACAAGGAAGCAAAACTCTCATATGCACCTTGTTTATAAAAACTGAATATCCGTCTTCTTCTGGAACGCGTCTTCTTGAACCTTCCTGGATATCCACTGGCATTCACTCAAATGTGAACGAATGCTAGAAAGTAATTCCACGAATCCCGTAATAAATCCCACTTTCCAATAGACCCAAAGCGCGAAAACATATTACTCGTATGCCCCATCAGTAGTATCCGCCGTTACCGGAAACCCTGCTTCCCTTTCCATTCACTCGTTTTCTGACAATAAATTGCATGATATTCACTGTTTCCGGCCCGGGTAGTATCTCATTATGTAATAACAGAACGCTGTGGTCCCACGAATTGAAGGCGAGTGAAACTTCACAACCACTTTACGTTTGCACATTGTTAACTATTCTTGTGGCGTTAAATTCATCCAAGGGTAAATTATTAAACAGAATTAAGACATCCCGACCATATGTTGGGATCGTATGTTGACTGGAACGCGTGTACGCTGGCCCTGAGGAAGGAGGCCTCATTACTAGGCTAAAGGTTTAATAAGATTTGAGTTTCGTGTGATTTGGATTCAAGTAGAACATAGGGTTGACGGAAACTCGGGGCCTGTCTCTACCTGATGAGCCCAAAGAAGGGCGAAACCGGTCGCGCGCTGTCGAAGAGTTTTCAGCAACTTGTGAGTAGTTTCCTTGATGAAGATTTGAGTTTGTTCACGGGCCTATCACCGAGGAGATAATGCTGGAGCAATAGCATTGAACAAAGGAAGCCTGACAGATTATTTATAAATGACTTATGGGAGCTGTGAATCTGTGACCTCAGCCCTGTACTAGATTTTAACTGTTATGGGACATTAAGGCAACAGTCTCTACGCCACTTAGATAAGAACTCTGGTTCACTTTCCCATACGGGACTTATGGGATGGGAAATCTGTTAGCTCGAAATTGACTATGACGATGGGTATATTTCCGCCCGTAAGTAAGTAACACATCACTGGCATTTTCTCCGCCAATTCTAATATTCCACTCTGCACGAAGTATACTTTTGTCTTTTGAAGACGCTGAAGTCTTAAAGCAAAGTCCCAATTTGCACAAAAAGTTGGGACTTTTTTATCTAGAGAACTTCGTCCTCACGATAATGCATAAGTACTTGAGCGGCGTTCGGTCGAGAACCAGATATTTTACTTCTTCAGTGGAACGAATTGAATTCTCTGAATTCGACTTCTAACCAGTTCCATCGTATCCTCTTAAATACATGTGGATTTTTTTTATATCCTTTCCCTGAACAACAATCTTAGCAGCAGCGTCAAGAGCTTATTTCTATTGGTCTGAACCACAACAGGGACATGGGGGAGTTTTCTGCCACAGTTAGTCTGGGTTCTTTTGGGAATAGTAAAAGCCAAATGCAGCCTTTATTTCATAAGCTTTTCAGCCTCACTCGTGAATTACTGACCCACTGCAACCATAAAAATTGAGTGCCAGTGAATAGATTATTCAACCAAAGTACCAGTCCCCGTTTTATCACTCGCTCCACCTTTTCTACTGCTTTGTGTCGCAGAAGTGTTCACTATGTTTGGAGGTGCCATCAGTTTAACCAGATATTTCTGATTCTAGACTCGTTTGGCTTGCACTAAGCATCCGTTGACATTATCTTGTCAATCACTACTTTCTTCTCTTACTCAATGCATTACCGTTCTTCGCAGACGTACATTTTGAGGCAATTACTAATTCTTGCATCAAGTGTTTTGACCCTATACAAATGATGCAGCCTTTTTCAGTTTCAACTTTTCCTTGAAGATATTCCGATATATGGATAAACATATTAGATCAATAGCTAAACTTCTCGGCCCGTAACACATCTTCTATTTTCGACTTACTCTGATTTATCAGTCGTACAATAACTTGGCCGAGTAGGACCTGATGGATACCAACAATAAGATACACCGCTTCCAGTATGTAATCATGGTGTCATTCAACTCCGAGCACTGTCTGGGAAGATTTTGTGCTTATACTTTTGTGTCACATTAACGGTGAGGATGTCCCATAAAGGATAAGCCTGCATTTCGATGATAATCAAGGTGAACAACACGTAATTCTTGGGATCGGATAGCTAGCACATTTGTCTTATTCAGTGGAGTGATTTTATGTGTATAATACGTCTCATCGCTCTGCTTTTTAGCTAAAAATTTATCTACATATGTTGCAGACTACTGTTTTTAGCTTGACAGACGAATATAACCGCCTGCGGTTACCACCGTCAGCTGCCATTTGATGAAGGTATATCTGATCAGGCGAGTAACCGAAATGTTGATGGATGCAGACTACTTTAGCTTGACAGACGAATATAACCGCCTGCGGTTACCACCGTCAGCTGCCATTTGATGAAGGTATATCTGATCAGGCGAGCGAGCGAAATGTTGATGGATACTTTAGAGTTCGGGGAACTATATATATATATATATATATATATGGGGGCGAGGTGGCCCAAGTGGTTAGAGCGCCAATTTACTGACCTGAGGGTC